ATCTATCTATCTATCTATCTATCTATCTATCTATCTATCTATCTATCTATCTATCTATCTATCTATCTATCTATCTATCCTTTATATATATATACATGCCAGACTGTGATAGGAGGCTGAGCGGTGTGGGAGGAGACGCCGGCCGCTCACAGCGCTCTCCTCCTGCAGCGCTCGACCGCATGTGACAGTTTCTCTCCTCCCCGCTGGGACACAGAGCAGCGCCCAGCAGGGAGGAGAGAAATCAAGGATGCACCGCTGTGTCGGACAGAAAATGGCACTTGCGCCATAATGCCAAAAGTTCAATTTTCGCCAGATATGTTTCGGCGGCCGATATATCTCTGCATCCATAGACATACCCTTTATTACATCAAGTAAACAGACACCAAACTCGTCAAGCTTCAAAACTGTGTGCGCGTAAAATGGCGAAAAACTACGGTATTGAAAATTGTCTGCAGGTGATGCTTTCAAAACCTTTACAGGTCATCAGTTTAGAGTTACTCACGAATAATGGCTGCAGAATTATTTATCTCACTCCAGCGTGGGCAGCGATACCTAATCCGTGTGGCGCAATTGTTGTTTCGTATATTGGTGCACCTGACACGTCTTTGCAATGGTATGTGTGTGTATGCAGGGTGGGGGACCTTTTTTTTAAACTTTTAGATTGCAGTAAACCGAGTCTGACTGTAACACAGTTGCAGTATTTTCTGGACAGTGACCACAGTTTACAGAGTGAAATATTCATTGGATTTGCCATTTCATGCTCCCTCTCCCATCTCTCACAGCACAAGCCCGATGAGTCTCAGAATGAAGGCTGGGAGTACGCCTCACTATTCGGATGGCACTTTCGCATGAATTATCGCAAGACGGACACTTTCCGTAGGCGGAGGTGGCGACGTAGAATGGAGCCCTTGCAAAACACTGGAGCCGCTGCTGTTTTTGCCCTGGAGGGGGCGCTGGTGAGTCACAAGCAGCCTGTGCTGTGTTGTAATAATTGTGATATATGTGACATGGGCCATCTGACCATTCAACCCGATTATTCAATTTATCCCAAGCATCATTCAGACCCTAAACCTGTTATTTATGTATTTTCCTTATCCATATTCAGAATCTGTGTCATATTATACCGTAGGATAGAGAGATGACTAAACCCTACATATCATTGGCCATACATATCAAGAGTATACAGGGTTAGGACAATTTATAGACCTCATTAAAGTAGACCTTTACTCAGACAATGCATAATCCTAACCCCTCTCTATTACACATTTGGGATAAACAGACAGACAGATTGATTTGATATATATACACTCACTGGCCACTTTATTAGGTACACCTTGCTAGTACTGGGTTGGACCCCTTTTGTCTTCAGAACTGCTTTAATTCCTCGTGGCATAGATTCAACAAGGTGATGGAAACATGACTTAGAGAGTTTGGTCCATACTGTCATGATAGCATCACACAGTTGCTGCAGATTTGTTGGCTGCACATCCATGATGCGAAGCTCCACCAGCCTGAACCGTTGATACAAGGCAGGATGGATCCATGCTTTTATGTTGTTTACATCAAATTCTGACCCGACCATCTGAATGTCGCAACAGAAATCGAGACTCATCAGACCAGCCAATGTTTTTCCAATCTTCTATTGTCCAATTTAGGTGAGCCCTTGTAAACGGTAGCCTCAGTTTTCTGTTCTTAGCTGACAGAACTGGCACCCGGTGTGGTCTTCTGTGGCTGTAGCCCATCTGATTCAAGGTTCAATGTATTGTGTGTTCAGAGATGGTAGTTAAGGACTCATTACCTTTTCCAGTAGGTACTTGCACTCACATCCTCATTCCTCACCTAAGTGAGGATGATGTCCCCACTACTTGTAGCTGTTGACTTTTTCATAACCAGATGAAGTTCCTCTTTAGATGGTTAGGTTAAGTGTTAGAATCAAGACGATTGTTGAGTGTAAAGGTCAGAGAAATTCTTGAAGTGTCATTAAACCCAGCATATTTTATATGCGTTGGCTCTAAAATTAATTTATATGACCATGTGCTTGACATTCCTTTCCAAAAGATTGTCTTAGTAAACACCAGGTTGATCCTGCCAGTTCTCTGTGCTTACTTATTGAGAGTGGCAATGTTTTTCTAGCCAGGACTCCGTGTCCTAGCTAGCTGCCCCAGGTGACCCTCTTCATAGCCTTGCCGGGCAGCTCCAGCATTGTGATTGACAGCAGCTCCTTCTCCTCACCTTGTCACCCCACAAGCCAATGAAGATTGTCATGTTGGTTGGCTAGCTGGAGGGAAAGATCTGCTGTCAATCACCCTGTTACATCTGGAGCCACGGTGTGTCACCTCTCTGCTATCACTACAAACTTCCTCAATGTTCCCAGGTGTCCAGATGACACCTCGCTCAGTTGGTTTTTCCTCTCTGTAGGTCAGCCATTTAAACAAACCAGGATGGAGGTGAAAAGCATCCGAAGGGGCGCAATGAAAATACGAAAGTGTCCACCATGCTGATCTGTGCTTATTTTTATAGTTAACGAGAGAGCGTGCAAAGCACGACCGCAGTATTACATCACAGAAATGTCCACAATGATTTTTGTTTGTGCTAGATCACAGAAGCTCCATTACCCAAATGACATAACTCTGGCCTTTCTACAATGGGCAGGGTGAAAATGTTGTAGGAAAAATCAGCATCCTTGCTACACCGTACTTCCAACCTTACCGATATCAACTACTTCAACTCCAGCATGGAGCAGAACAATTATTACATAATTGTTCTGGTTCCACAGAAGCTACCCATTGTTCTGGTTCCACAGAAGCTACCCATTCAAGGCAAAGTGACAGTGTCTTGCAATGGGCATCCACAACCCCCCTATACTTACCTGCTCCCCTCTGCTTCTTCCTCCTCCACAGTGTACAATGTGTACACTTTCAGGTATAGAGGAGCATGTGACGCTGCTTAGGTGTAGCAGCTCTTCAGTAGCTAGGGAGAAGGCTTCCAACACGGTCCCCACTGGCTCCTCCTTATTTAGCACATGCACACTGCAGCCTTATTCATTTTTATGGGTAGACCCACTCATGCTGGCCTCCTGTAGTCCATTGGAGTACAGCTCCCACATACATAGGAGTGAATGGGGACTTGGTGCGCATGCAAAATGAAGAGGTGCCATCCGGAAATGCTTTTGGAGATGAGATCGCAGGAACCGGGGCTGAAGGTAAGTATAATCCAAGGCTGCTTGCACTCGAGGAGTGGGGGGAGGTTTTTAAAGGACTTTACTAAAGGTGAAGTTGTCTTTTAAAGGGAAAAATGGAACAAATACTGCTTGTTTTTCACATTCTTCCTTTATTGTGGGGCCCCCAGCTGTTGCTGTCACCTCCCCAATCCACAGCACCCAAGACAGGCACCTCTGGGTGTTGGCCCTTCCCTGGTTATCCACGTTCAGGTGTTGGTAGACAGCATGTGTCATTAAATTGGCAATCTCATTGGACTGGGGGGATGGCAGCTGGCAGGGCTAAGTCATGAAGTCTGGAAAAGTCAGACCCCCCCAGAAACAAAGTGAAATGTAATCAGAGAGTGACACAGAATAAGCTTTTCTGTCTGGTGGGTAACATGTTAGTTGCAATAAAGATCTGCACTCTTGGAAGACTGCTAAAATTGATAGTAAATTAGTAAGCGGTCCTAAAGCTGCTATGAGAAAAATATATGTGATTGGTAAGTGTTAACACAGCGCTATAGGTGTTAAAGTAAACTAAATACCAATATGGTTTTCACCTAACTAAATATTATATGTTTCATCTTTATGTTTCACCATATGGGATTTTAGCTGTAACACTAATTCGTTTTAATTGTTGGTATTTAGTTTACTTTAATACCTATAGCGCTGTATTAACACTTACCAATAACATGTTATGTTGTCTGCCCATAGGCAGGACTTTTATTTATTAAAGGAGAACTATGACATGAGTGATTTCCACTCACGTCATAGTTCTAAGCCGACCTGTGACAATGAGACTGTCACAGGTCGGCTCAGTAGATCGGGAAGTGAGCGAACACATACCGGGTTCCCTCACCTCTCGATCCTGTCACGGCTCTCTGCCGTGACAGGGGGAGGGGCTGGATTCCCATCTCCCCGCTCCGATCTGCCAGCACTGACTGGCGGAACGGACGGGGGGAGGGGGCGGGTACAGCTGGCTCTGCCTCTAGATAGGCAGAGCCAGCTGTCACTCACGCAGCTGGGCGGATCCCGTTATCTAAGTCGGGATCCGCTCCAGGTGCGGCGTCTCAGTATACCGCGAGCTGTAGCTCGCGGTATACTGAGCTTAGGGTGACGGGAGGACGCTAGTTTGTGTCCTCCCGTTACCCCAAGGAGAACTATGGGGAAAAACACTGACCCCATAGTTCTCCTTTAAGTATTTACATTTGTTTTTATGTGTCTACAGCTGACTAGACTATTATACAGTATAAACCTGTGTATTGTACATTATTTTTACAGGGTGGTGTTACTGATGACAAAAGTGATGATGGGAAGAATACCTGTACGCTGAGTCTAGGAGTGAACAGACCTACAATATCCTGCATTTTTGACTGTGAGTGAAATGTGTATCTTCCAGCTGATTCTACAATGTAATATTGCCCTTATTGTTGGGATTTAAATCTGAGCTCCGGCCTTCCCTTCAGCCATACACAGTTGTACTGGCTCCTCTCCGGGAATGAAATGGCTTCCTCTGATTTCACTTCACATTGTGAGCTTCTCTTAATGTGCAGTAGAAGCTGCACCAAGTCAGAGTCCGCCTCATTTCCTGTCCGTCCCTGGCCCACTCCTTTCATTCATTGGATTTCAGTTTTTTTCAATCATGGAAGCTCAGCATCACATGTGAGCATTGCACAGTGTGGTCTGCATGCAAATGTAGTCTGTCTAGAATTGCCCACTCCTCCAGACTGACATCCACCCATCAAGGTATTTTGAATAACTCCTTCCAAGAGCCAGCCCACTGCTTGCATCAGGGCTGAGAACATTCGAGAGGAGTACTGGGCAGGGTAATTTTAATTAACCTTTTAGTGAAATGTAACCACCTGACCTGCTGTGAAGCATTAGATATGAAGTTATGATCCCTTTCTTGTGTCATAGGTGGATACCGCTTCCACTTGCGTTGTTATCTCTATCAAGCACGCAACTTGATTCCAATGGACAAAGACAGTTTTTCCGGTGAGTTGCCTCTCCTCTAGAGCAGTGGTGTATATTCAGGAATTTGCATTACCTGGTGGTTGGTAAATGGAAAGGAGATTGTACAATCTGATTGTAACACCTGTGGCCAGCTTAATGCATGATAAAGGGGAGTACCTTAAAATATTGCCAGGTGTAAGCTTTTTATGGTGTATTTTAACAGATATTAATACAGCTGCTATGTTTTACTGATAAGGAGATATGGTTTACAGAACATACCTGTAGACTTAACCAGCAGTGCCGGGGCACGGTCCTTTAGCACCCAAGGTGAAAAGGCCATGTGTACCCCCTCATAAGCTAGTAACTAATTTAGGTTGTAAGTCGTGTCCTGTTCTCAAACGCCCCCCACCCCCCTTCCTTGCTGAAATGTCCAAGGCGGCCGACTCTTCTGCCAACCCCTCGACCCTGCCCTGCTTGCCAATGATGTCTTTGTCAATGTGAGTTGCAAAGACAGCAAAAAAAGGCACACGTGTTTGAAGTCCAGCCTGTGTGACCATCATGGCTTTATTGTTTCCGCTATTATGGCATTATATTCCGTTCCACCAGCTAGGGAGTATACCTCGGGTATGGTATCAGAAGAATTTCAAATTACTAATAGCACCTGTCAAGGGTACCCTTGATCATCTATTATCTTTTCGATAGTGATAGAACCTTTTGCATCGGCCATCATAAGCAATCCCGCAATCTCTGGTATATCAATCTCTGGGTACACCCATAAAATTGGATTATTCACTGACAGTGTCATCCTTTCCCTCACTGATCTGGCTCCTTCCCCGTGGGAGGTACAAGTTATTGCTTACTTTGGTGCTGTTTCATATTAAAAAGTGATTGTAACTAAATAATGTGTGCTTAACGTGGTCATCTCATAGACATCCGTACATCTTTTACAAAAATAATTTTGATACACTTGGGATCCTATTTCTATTCCCTTTTTCGGTATTCATCTTACATATCCTACTGATAAATTGTACTCTGTACACTTTGACCCTTTTTTGTCCTTGGGAAAGAGAGCTCCAGTCATATGGGAACTTTCAAGGGTGGGTCGGGTATCAGTCTTTATAATTCTAACTTTGCCAAAAATGTTTTACCTTTTTAGAACTATACCCATCCCCCTCCCATGTAAATTCTTCAAGTCTATAAATTCACTACTTTGATCTTCTATCTGGCAAAACATAAACCTATAATTTGTCTTTCTTTACTGATGAAACATAGATCAGTAGGAAGTCTGGGGTCCCCATTTGTACGATTACTATTTAGCTGCATGATTGGACAAAATCAGGTTCTGGCTACAACCAAATGAGGGTTTTTGCTAGTTGCTATTCAGGATTTAGTGGCCCTTTTACTGGCAACATCCCTGTCCAGATCTATCCCACTTCCACATCACCCTTCCATAATGATCTCTATAGAGGCATGGAGAGGGCTTTTGGAAAACTGTGATGTGGACTTAAAGACCCACCACATGCCCATTATGCTGGCAATATTGATATATCTGATCCCGAACCTGAATGTGAGCTATTGGACCTCTACGGGTTTGAAGTCCCCCTCCTTCTTTTACTACATCATCCTCCTTGACAGACTATCTTAAAATAATGCAAATTAGAGCTTTCCACAAATCTAACACTGTATTGGAAATTTCTCTCCCAGCAAAAATTTTGGAGTTTCTTAACCAGTTGACATCCGCGGTGTTAAACCCCCTTCCCATACACCCTCTAAGAATAGAAAAGGAATTTCCTTTTTTCTACACAATCCTTCAAAATAACTGTGACATTACTAAATTTGCATCCTTGCTGAATTGGAAGAAAAATCGAAATCATACCTTTTTCTTAGAGTAATGGCAAAGCACTATAAAACTTAGGGGGCTATTCAAAAAGGAGCCAAAGGATCCTTCGGCTCCCTTCGGCTCAGTCGAACCGAAGGGCTGCTGCACGGGCTATTCACTATAGCCCGTACAGCAGCCGAAGGCAGACAAGCATCTCAGCCAAGCCGAAGGCCTATGCTTCGGCTCGACTAGGCTGAAGTGACACCCGAAGCGAGGTGAATGGCATGCCAAAGGGCTGGCCATAAGCCCCGCAAATGACAGCTGGGCGGAGCCAGCAGTAATCTCACGGCTGTCTCCGCCCAGTTGTAATGACAGATCAGCGTCCCCAAATGACCTGGGTATGCTGATCTGTCATTAAACAAGGTACCGAGCAGAATAGCCGAGCCGAATGCCGATTGCTAATTGGTTTTTGTTTTTATTAATTAAATGTTTTTTTTCTTTTAAAAAAAATCTTTATTTATTTTTTAATTTTTCAATGTTTTCCATGTATTTAAGTTTTAACATTTATTTTTTCAACTTTTTATTTTTTAAACTATTCTAATTGACTTACTTTACCTCCGTGGTACCGAGCAGAATAGCTGAGCCAAATGCCACTCGATGGCATTCGGCTATTCACTCACTCCCGTTATGTGAATAGGGGCGAATGGCAGCGAGTGAGCTGCCGGAGCTTCGGCTCAGCTGATCCAGATGTTGGATTGGCTGAGTCGTAGACCTTCTGCACTTCACTCAGGAAGTGCAGCCGCAGGCAGCCGATGTACGGCTGATTTCAGCCGATAGAGGGCTGAAATCAGCCGTACTGAGCTGTAGTGAATAGCTGAATGTTGTTCGGGTCACTTCACTTCGGCTGGGCTATTCACAAAGCTGCCTTTGGCAGCTTTGTGAATAACCCCCTTAGCTACAGCTCTTCTAGATACATTAATCATTGGGCGAATGCTCAACAAATCTCACATCGCTGGTATTTCACCCCATTTAAATTAAAGTACTGTCCTTTAATGTCTTGTCTCTTTCTTATTCCAGACCCGTATGCCAATGTGTCCTTCCTCCATCAGAGCCAGAAGACAGTGGTGGCAAAAAACACTTTAAACCCAACCTGGGACCAGACACTCATCTTCCATGAGATAGAAATATTTGGTAGCTCCGAGATGATAGCGGAAGTTCCTCCCAATATTGTGGTGGAGTTATATGACCATGACACCTATGTGAGTACATGGAGAGCCAGCAGAATAACCTACAAAATTATTATGAAGGTGCTTTTTAGCAGGGGCTGATAAAGATTTTTATGTTTTTTTTAAAGCAATACTTCAATGACTTCACTTGGTGAACTAGCACTAGTTACTCCATTTTGTTCTGAAGTCTAGCAAACGTGAGTCCATCTTTTTGTGCATTGCAATATTATTAATTCTGTCTTGTGCAGGGAGCAGATGAATTCATGGGACGGTGTATTTGCAAGCCAAGTCTACAGTGTTCACCAAAACTATCCTGGTATCCGATATCTGTGGGTGACAAGAATACAGGTGAACTTCTGGCTGCCTTTGAACTCATCCGTAGGGAAAAGGTAAATACCTTCTATAAAAGTTTCTTCATCATAACTTTATTTAATAGATTAATTGCAAATAATAATTGACAATAGCACAGTGGATATCTTCCTAACAAGACACTGAACATTTATTAAAGTGAAAGTTCATCTCCCAGACCTTCGACAATCTTGTACATATTGTAGGATGCAATGGACACCATTACAGGCAGTCCCCGGGTTACGGACAACCAGTACTTACGAACCAAGGTCCACAGTTCTCCTAAATGTACCGGCAGCCGGTCTGTGGCTGCAGCGGCCTGTATCCCTTCAAATCCCCGCTGCTCTCCCCGCCTGTGTTGGCGGAGGCAGCGGGGACACAGACCGCTGCATTCCTAAGCTGCCCCCCGTACCTCCTCTGCTGTCCTGGCCGGTTCCTCCTCTTCTTCCGGTCCATCTGCTCCTCTTCTTCCTGTCCGTCGGCTTCTCTTCCTCCGATCCTTCGGCTCCTCCGGTCCCCCCGGTCTGGCCGCTTCTCCTCTGCCCCGCCCCCCTGCCAAATAAAATAAACACATTTTTTTTTAAAAGGTTTAATTTTTTTTTAAAGTAAAAAAGTTAAATAAATAAAAATTAAAAATGCAAACAAATAAAAAAAATAAAGTTTATAAAATAAAATGAAAAATAAAAAAAAACGTTTTTTGGTGTGTCATTTTAAATAAAAAAAATATTGTATTATATTATAATCTTCTGAACAAAGGGAACAGACAGCAAAACAAACGTGACCCTTCCCTATTCTATCCAAAGCTAAAAAAAATGTTTTTTGGCTGGAGTTACACTTAAAAAATTTACCTGTTCCGACTTACATACAAATTCTACTTAAGTACAAACCTACAGTCAATCTTGTACGTAACCCGGGGACTGCCTGTATGTGATTTGAATGTAATTTCAAGGACTGTTCTACTCAACCCTTGGGATGCTGTTTGTACTAAAGTTATAGATGCACATTGTTTGTGAAAGGTTCACCTCAAAGCTGTGAAATGCCATAAAACTGGATTCTTATCTGTTAACCATGCACCTACAGGTACCTGCATGTATTATATGCGCTCCCCTATTAGCTTGTGATACCAAGGTTTGTGATCATGCTAGCATAATAGAGTACCCTAGGTTTGTGGGACCCCAGCGAACACTGTAAAAACAGTAGCGGCGTTCCTCTTAGTACATGGGATTTTTAAGCAGAGATAATGTAGCCACTAAAATCAGTATATTAATTTATGTTGTGAAAGTTTGATCAGTAATAATGTTTCACCACGGGACTTACACTGGTCACACACGGCAATCACTTCAAATTCACTCAGTTTCCATTGACCCTCACTTGAAAAAAATGATTGCAGATTAGGCAGTTTAAAATAGCTTGCAATGTGCAACTAATGGACAGATTATCATACAATACCATAAAATGTACCACCCAAGCCTTAAACTTTTTGTTAGTGCAGACAGTGTCCACATCTAGTTTACAACTGATAAAGACCTGCCAGTGCAGAACAGACAGGGTTAATTATGATACACATAACTCCTCAGCCCCCTAAACATTGCATAGAACAGGACAGTTAAGAAAAAACAAAATTCAGCGTATAAAAGAGGTAAGAAGCAATTTTATTTTTTTTAAGTTATGCTATGTGAATGAGTACAAGTAACAAATATCAAGTAGGTGTTATCCCAATTCATCGTGGGACACTGATAATGCAGGAAGGAAGCACTTACTTTCTGCTCATATTCTGCAATCCATGTCACATTAGCCTGCAATCTCTGCTCTGCCACTGCTGGCCATGCTCTAGTTACAAAAGCTATAGAAAAAGAGTACAGAGTGTAAAGAACTAAGCTGTGGATGAGGGGTGCAGAGGGTGAATTGTGAAACAGGGGTGCAGAGGTGAGCGGTGAAAGGGGGAGTGTGGAGATAAGCTGTGTTTGAGGGGTGCAAAGGTAAGCAGTGGACAATAGGTGTAAAGGTGAGCGGTTTGCGTGGGGAGCTGAGGAAGAGGGATGCAGAAGTTAGTTGTGAACGAGTGGTGCAAACAGGAGGGGTGGACAATTGATGCAAAGGTGAGCTGTGGACATGGGATGCTGAGGTAACTGATGATCTACGGTTGCAGAGGTGAGCTGTGAGACAAGGGTGGAGAGGTGAGCTATGGATGAGTGGTGCCGTGGTAAAATGTAGATAAGGGGTGCAATGGGGAGCTGTGGAGAATGGGTACAGAGCGGAGCAGTAGACAAAGGGTACAAAGGTGAGTTGTGAATAAGGGTTGCAGAAGTGAACAAGGAAGGTGATAAATGTGTGCCAGAAAGATACCAGCATATATGAGAAATCCCTAAACTCTCTCTCTCTCTCTCTCTCTCTCTCT